CGTTCGCAACGTGAATGAAGCAAGAAAATGGATTTGGGTAGCGTAGACTGCAGCGATCTGAACTCTCTAATAAGCCTTCAAAAATCAAGAAGTACTTATACTAAAAAAAATAGAAGTAAAGTTCTGCTCTATCCAGTTCATCTGATTAAACATTAAAATTACATCATAAACGGCTCAGCTAACTCTGTACACCTTAAAAGACTGAATCGAGTCACAGAACTCTGTACTGAATTCAACTAGTGAAAACCCAAAATTATTTGTGTTTACAATTTTTTATCTCAGAGAGAGAAGTTTTTCGGATATGTAAAAGTAGTTAAAATTAATAAAATTTTCTTAAAGTGGATATGTATTAACAATAATTTATGTATTTTGATATGGCATACTGAATTGCATATATTCACCTGAGTGAGACATAAATCATTTAGACTTCTCTATTTGGTCAAGCACAATCTTCATATAGAATGCAACATTGTGTTTATTTAAAAATAAAATAAATTCATTGTAACCAAAATTTTGTTCGCAATGACAAATGAATATTGTCCTCATTATCACCTCATGCATTACAATCATTTTCTCTAGTGTTTGCATATAACACTTGCGTTCTGTATATTATTGCTTCTGCAATCTGTATTGATTATTGCTGTTAAATACCTTTGAGACTGAAATTACTTTTTCTTCATACTCGACACAAAAAATAGCACAAAACTCAACATTTCCTTTGTGTAACCATTCATAGTCACAATGCCATTTTTCACATTCGATGCTTTACTAAATGAATTACATTTAAATCTATTGACTTATTTGACAATAACTGATTCAACATTAGCATTTTTTAATTTAAATTCAAGGTTTAATTCATTGATTCATCAATCGTTTCGATATAAAACATTTGACTTTACAAATGTAACACAACAGGCATTTGATGAGATGCTGAAATTTGCACATACTGAATTTTTACATAAAATTTATTCATTGAAATTATCAGATTTACCAACTGTTGGTGCAATTGATCATTTCATTTCACACTTTAATATTCGACATTTATCTAATCTTCAATCGCTCTTTCTGCATGAACCAGTAGCTTTACAAGTTAAACAATTTTAAATAAACTATCAAACTGTCGCTTATCGGATCTGTCCATTCTAACAAAACGATATGATCGAGATGATATTCATAATGAAATCATCAGTATAACATTTAGTAGAAAAATGTCTGTATTAAAAACATGTCACGTTCTTGACAATTTCATTGGTAATTTCGATAAACTACGCAAAAGTCAGATAGAAACGATGACTGTTCGAGTATACGATATTAACGGATTAACGAAAGTTGTTGCTTATCTACCATGCATCAAATGTTTAACTGTTCGAATGTCCGAAAGATGGTCAAATCAAATGTTACCAACAACAATTTCGTTGCCGAATTTAATTAGTTTAAAATTAATCGTCAGCGACATACAGCTAATTGATATTGAATGGCTATTAAAGCAGGTATCGAAACTCGAACAATTGACATATTCATTTGAAAGCTACTGCAATGTATATGATAAGTATGAGCAAATTAATGCTCAAATGAGGACAAATATTTTATTGAATTTACCGTGATTAAAAAATTTCATTTCTATGCCAAACTAGATTGTACTCAAACAGATGATAACGGTGACAATATTCATTTATCATTCCAAACAGAATTTTGGTTACAACGAAATATTTATTTTGTTTTTGAATACGGTCAATTATATCTTACAATATGGACTATACCCTATCCTGAACCGAAAGCAACTGATATTGAGGAACATCGATTAACTTCTACTCAAATG